TATCTCATTAGATTCTCACAGAAGTTAGAGGCATACAGAGTTGTTACCACTTTACAGTTACGAAACCAAAAGAAGCAGACTATGTAAAGTGACATGACACAATAAGTGGCAGAATTTTTTAACCTAACAACTCTGTCTTTAGAAATTGTGCACTGAATGCACACTATTACTTCAGAAATTATCAAAGAATTAGTTGCTGGGAAACAGATATTCAAATCTCAGTTATTGGCTATATCATATTGTCAGAAAAGATTCTTGGTCTTTCTTGGCTTTTGACTACCTAAAGACAACCAACTGTGTGTTGGAAAGGAATTAATATAGGATTACTCTTAGGGTAGCCTGTGATTTGTGCTCTAAACTGTGACCATTTCAAAGCTAAATAAGGAATTTTGTTGATAACCATCAGGGAAACAAAATCAGATGGATTCATGTGAGCTAAGACATGTGGTCATCTGATGTGGGAAGTCCTTTTTTTCTCTTCTTTTTTAAAAAATTCATTTATTTATTATGTATACAACATTCTGCCTCGATGTATGCCTGCATGCCAGAGGAGGGCTCCAGATTTCAGTACAGGTGGTTGTGAGCCACCATGTGGTTGCTGGGAAATGAACTCAGGACCTCTGGAAGAGCAAACAGTGCTCTTATCCTCGGAGCCATCTCTCCAGCCCTGGGAAGTCCTTCTGTATATGTATTGCTTTTATTGGTTAATGAATAAAGAATCTGCTTTAACCTGTGATAGGGCAGAGTAGAGCTAGGCAGGAGAACTAAACTGAATGCTGGGAGAAAGCGGGGTTAGGAAGAAGCCATGTAGCGGCCAGAGGAGAAAGATGCGAGTCACCAGCTGGAATATTGCTGATAGGCCGTGAGCTTCATGGTAAAATATAAAATAATAGAAATGGGTTAATTTAAGATGTTAGATCTTGCTAGGAATATACTAGAGGCATATGCTAAGCAGTGTTGTAATTAATGAAGTTTCTGAGTGGTTATTTCAGGTCTGGGCTGCTCGGAAACAAGTGAACAGTCTCTGACTACAATCATCCTCACTGGTTCTATTTCATCCTCAAAGAAATAATCTCTCTCTCTCTCTCTCTCTCTTTGTGTGTGTGTATAGAAGGAAATTGAATATCCTTCTATACCTTGCATGTTAATTTGTGCATGTTACTGTATAACAATGTTGTTTTAAAACACCTATGTACCTTTATTTTATGGGCAATTTTGTAGATTGTCTTTATTGTGTTTGACATTTGTATTACATATGACAAAATTTAACCTCTCCAAAACATTGTTTCATATAAATAATTGTGTTCAAACAGGTTGTCTAATTTGGCAAGGATTAAAACTTTTTAAATTAATTTATTTTTCTTTTATGTGTATGAATGTTTTAAGTCTATGTAACTATACTGCATGCAACCAGTGCCCACAAAGATGACAAGAGGGCATCTGATCCCATGAAACTAGAGTTACAGATTTTAGTGGCCTGTGTAGGTGCTGGGAACCCCGTGTGGGGCCTCAACATGAACAGAACCTCTTAACTACTGAGCCATTTCTTCATCCACAGACTTTGTTTTAAAGTATAGATTCTATATTAATACTCTTTAGATTTTGCAAGAATTACAAAGAATATGAAAGAAACTTTTAAAATTATAAGCAGATATATGCAGTTTATTTATGTAAATTCAACCATTCACCCAAGATCTTGAACTCACATGTGGTAGTTACCAGGAAACAAGAAAATGGGCAGTAAAAACAACTTCAAGTAGAGCTAGAGGGCTGTAGCAGCATTAAATCATGATGTGAAAATATCTGGGGAGTAGTGTGAAGATGGGAACACTACACTTTGTGATCAGGGAAAGGGATATTTGTTTGACCTGGGATATGAATGGCATAGAAAGGCCTTAGGTGGGAATAAAAACTGGAAGGAGACCCAGCAATGGAAGTAAGTGAGGGGAAAGAGAAAGAAAGGAAGAAGGAAAGAGGGGAGAGAATGGAGGGAAGTTGAGGCAGAAGAGGCAGTGAAAGCATAGCTACAGGGTGGCTCCTATGAATGGCTCAACTCTATGACTCACGAGAAGGACAGAATTCAACACCTATGAGCCTGCCTAGACTGTCCTCAAAGAGGACAAGGTCTAACAGGGCTTAGGCCTTACCTGTGTTTTTCTTTACACAGTTGGAGCAGGGCAAACCCTGTGGAATTAATGGAGATACTACGCAGAGTCAGGCACCTCTGTCTTAGCTGTAACTGTTATTCTTTTGGTCCCTGCCCTAGCCACGCCCACTCCTTTTTAACCTCTGACCTCTGCCAGCCATCGCTCTCTCTTCCTGCTTCCTCTCCAGGTGTACACACGGGGCTTTGCCTCTCTCTCCTCCTCTCTCTCTCCCTCTCTCTCTCTCCCTCCCTCTCTCTCTCTCTCTTTCTCTATCTCTCCCTTTCTCTTTCCCTCTTTCTTAATAAATGCTTATGGCTTCCTTATGTGTTTATGTGTCTGTTAGCGCGGGTGTTGTTCTTTTTTAAAAATGCTGCAAGATCCCCTACGCAGTAGGCAGCAGAAATGCTGTAAGTCCCAAATGGTGGCGGCGGGGCATGTGGTGGCAGGCAGCGGGCCCTGGGAGCAGCCAGTCCCAGGCAGAGACAGCTGCTGGTCCCAGAGCAGTGGTGGCGGGCCATGTGGCAGCAGGCAGTGGGCCCCAGGCAGAGTAGGCTGCTGGTCCCCGAGCAATGGCTGGCCCCAGGCGGGGAGACACATGGCAGGCGGGCAGGAGACAGAAACATGGAAAGACACGACATGCAGGGTGAGGTTGAATGTTTATTCAGGGGGTTATGGAGGAGGAAGGGTGAAGGGGGGGACAGAGAGAGAGGGAGAGAGAGAGAGAGAGAGAAAGCGAGAAGAGGGGAAAGAGACAGAGAAGGGGGGAAGAGAGAAGTGGGGAGAGAGGCAGAAGCAAAGCTGCCTCTCCGAGAGGAAGATGGAAAAGAGAGCGAGCTCAGGCCAGAAGCTGAAGATCAGCCTGCCTCAGCGGATGGGGAAGAAATGGGTGTGGCTTGTCTCTTAAAGGGACCAAAACCATAACATTCCCAGGTCTTCCTTATAATAAAAAGCACATATGTCAAGGAAGCAGAAAAGGAAGGACCCAAGATGGCGGCAGGCAGGTCAGAGGTAATGAAAGTGGGCGTGGCTTGTCCCTTAAAGTGACAGGAAAGCACAACAGCGGGTGTGTGCCCTCCCGCTGGTGGGAAACTGCCGGCGCCAGGCACTGCTGGGACCCGACGGAGTTTGCTGTTGCTCTGTGAGCCCGCCCGGGCGGGGGAACTCCTATATATTTTTTTAAGAATAACAGTAACAATTTCAGTCTAGTCTCTCATAACTAGTGCATTTTGGGTTGGGTTGTTGTTATCTGTTGGCCTGGTCTGTCATATAGGTACACTATCCCTTTAAGAGCCAAGCTCTGCTCCCCTCTTCAGCGATTTCCTGCCTCCTCCCCAGCCCGTGCCCACTCTTTCTCTGTCTGCCTGTCTTCTGGAGAAGCAGCCTCTCTCTCTCTCTCTCTCTCTCTCTCTCTCTCTCTCTCTCTCTTTCCTCTCCACTTCTTCCCCTTCTCTCCTTCCTTTCCCTTTCTATAAACCACTAAATAAACTCTATACCCCATCTCTCTGCATGGTGTACCTGTTTCTCACCCTCAGTCATCTCCCATCCACCAAGGGGACCAGATGAAGCCTTGGGTGGACCCCTTGTGGAACCAGACCTTGGGTTACCAGCCTTTATAAATAATTTCATGGTTAACAGGGAAGAAAAGTAGGGAAAATTTCAAAATATAGTTTTCAGTTTCCTTACATTTTCATTCCCTGTCACTCTTCAATGCCAAAGCTTATTGGTATTGCTCATTAACAACAAAATAAACTTTCAAAGCACTCTGACTTAACAGAGAAGGCAGATTACTGAAAACCACCAAACTGAGTAGTAGAATTTCATTGCATGCCCTTCTAGGTGCCTTTGGTACTGGGTGAGCAGTTGCAACAGCCCTTCCAATCCACTATCTTGATTCAGATGCACAGGTGTATTTGAAAGGGTACAGCTTCCCAAGCACCTGGGGAAGGGGAGGGGTTTGGACATTTTAAATTCTGCTTAGCTGCCAGAGGTAAAAGGAGAAATGGTTCCTTTCAGTTTTCCTAGTACCATCCCTGTGAACCAATCAAATGAAGTATAGATAAGGACTAGTATTTTGATACAGAGACTTACAATAAAGTTCTGTTTTCTTTATCTGCCACCCAATGCATCTTTTCTCAGGGTGATGAGAACTCTTCCTGTAGCCAGGCTTGCACAACACTAAGTTTCAACCTCTATAGATTTAAAAAAAAATATCTTTTATGAGCGTTTTCTCTACCTGTATGTAAAGTCCAGCACAAAGGTGCAGTGCCTGTGGAGTCCAGAAGAGGATGCTGGGGCCCCTGGAAATAGAGCTACAGAGAGTTGTGAATCTCCTTTTGAATTCTGTATCTGAACTGCAGTCCTTTGCAGTTAGTTAGCACCTGAAACCACTGACCCATCTCTCCGAACTCGGTTTTCAGTATATTTAAAGACAGCGTTCAAAAAAAAAAAAAACGTTTTTTTTTCCTTTTTTTCATTTTTTTTTTTTCTTTTCCCTATGTTCTCCTGACTTTCTTACCAGCTTCTCTTTAGCCTGGTGCACCATCACAGAAAGTCAAAAAAGAACGTTGAGGTTTGAATTCTTTTAAGAGTCTAGTCAAGAAATGAGTCAATATAGTGCAGGATGCTTAATAACTCCTGTTGATATTAACTCAGCGTTTATCTAATCCAGTTCTCCTAAAATGTCAGTCCTCCAGCAGGCTTCCAGGCTACTAAACCTTTTTCTGAATCTGCGCCTGCTCCGTTGGCATAGTAACGGCCTGGACTACTACTACTACTATGAAATCTGGATTTGGGTTCTGAATTACGACAGTCGCAAACTGAGGTTTCCTTACGGCGTCCTCGCTTTACGACAGTAATAACTATGGCTGCGTTCGGTGTAAGATTTGAAAGTGCTACGGATATCGAAGACCGAAAAGAACAGACCCGACTTGCCAGGGTTGAAGTGTTACGCCAGGTACCGCCGCTTTTCAGGGCTTTCTTTCTTCCTTTTAAAACTAGTGCTTGCTCTTGAGTTCTCAGTATTCCTCATTGTCCGCTATGTTCAGCTAGTCCGGATTTATCCCATGCTTTTTCAAGAACAATCGCAGTGGGTTTTTGATCCTACTGCACGTACTGGCTTTGGGGGAGCCTAGGCAGTTTAGATGCTCACCTTACTGGACCTGGATAGAGGTTGGTGGTCCTTGGGCTTCCCACAGGTCAGGGAACCCTGATTGCTCTTCCAGCAGATGAGGGAGGGGAACTTGATCGGGGGAGGGGGAGGGAAATGGGAAGCGGTTGCGGGGAGGAGGCAGAAATCCTTAATAAATAAATAAGTTAAAAAAAAAAAACAAACACTAGTGCTTGCACTGAGAACTTCCTACATGCTAGGTCAGCACTCCCAGAGACTCCTCCTCTCTTGCTTCGACTGTGGTCTCTTTCCAATGCAGTGTCTTCTAAATGCTCTGGCCGGCTCCGTTTGCTCATTTTCTTTACAGAGAGATGCGACTAGTTTCCTCCCAGTTTCCTTAGCTTTTACGCCATCTGTTGACGTTTCTGCCGCCTGGGTTGCTCAGTTTTTATGTAGCGAGTCCTGGCAGCGGCTGATTTGGAAGTAGGGCATCTGAATACACTGGTGATTCCTCCAACCCTAGTTGAAGAACAGAATGTTTGGTAACGATTTTTTTGGGGAGAGTGGGTTTAAGGTGAAAGAGTGCATATAAAAATAGTAGAAAAGACAGGAAGAATGACTCTTCAAGTCACATTTTAAGGGAATAGGTGAGGAGCTAGTTTTGGATAGGTAAATCGTTGTGATTATTCATTGATCTCACAATAGTTATAATAATGTTCTTTATTATTGTTGGTCTGGTATTTCCAGCAGTTTTGGTAGGAAATTCTTTGTAAGCTGTGGTGAGTTTTGACATTTGAGAGCTGAATGAGTAGACAGAAGAAACTACTTGAGAAAACCTTGTATTGTTTGACTGTTGTTGACCACTGACTAGAAACAAGCAGTATGATCTTTTTTTTTTTTTTAAGATTTATTTTTTTATGTATACAGTGTTCTGTCTGTATGCTTGCTGGCCAGATGAGGGCACCATATCTGAGCCACCATGTGGTTGCTGGGAATTGAACTCAGAACCTCTGGACAAGCAGTCAGTACTCTTATTCTTATCCTCTGAGCCATCTCTCCAGCTCCTATCCTCTCTTTTTTTTTTTTTGCTTCTTTTTTTATTTTTAATTTTTTAGTTTTTTTTTTTTTTTTTTTTTTTTTTTTTTTTTTTTTTTTTTGAGACAGGGTTTCTCTGTAGCTTTGGAGCCTGTCCTGGAAATAGCACCAGGCTGGCCTTGAAGTCACAGAGATCTGCCTGCATTTGCCTCCCGGATGCTGGGATTAAAGGCGTGCACCACCACCACCACCACCTGGATTTTTTTTTTTTTTTTTTTAAGACTGGGTTTCACTGTATCCTTGGAGCCTGTCTGTCCTGGAACTAGCTCAGTTGACCAGGCTGGCCTTGAACTCACAGGTATCTGCTGTCTGGGATTAAAGGTGTGTGCCATCACCTCCCGGCTGATCCTTTTTTTTTTTAAGAAGATAACTATTTTTTTTTTTTCTGAGACAAAGTGTTGGAGTACAGATATTGCCTATTAAAGGCATGGAAAAATTCAGCTTCATAACTTTCTAAAGAACTTGACCCAGGAATGATGAAGTTTAAAGTGATTCCAAGTCATATTTGTGACAGGGAGAAAGGAGGACAAAGGCTAGACCTGGGCAGGATATTGTGTGTGGTTTGTACCATGATTTACTAAAGGTTGGTAGGTCCAAAGAAAAGCTATTGTTAGGTTTTAAAAAAAAAAATCTTTTTTTATACTAGTAGAAACAAATTTATTGTCAAAATAGACCATTTATTCATTAGAAATCTTTATATGAAAATGCTACCAATTTTTCTTTTTATATATGAAAAGTGGATCTATCAATTGTCACCTTATCCTTTGTATTCTTTCCTTGTAGGCTAAAAGTAATTTCAAAAAAGAACAAAGGTGCAAGGAACTTAAGCAACTTCGAGGTGAAGATACATGGATGTTACCTGATGTGAATGAGCGAATTGAACAGTTTTCACAGGTGAATATTACCAGTTGTGCTTGAAGTAATAATAGGACTTATTTTCTTGATTTGTGTTTTTAGGAAGGGTCTTTCTTTGTAGCCCTGGTTGGTCTAGAACTTATTATGTAGACTAGGCTGGCCTCAAAAGCACAGAAATCAGTCTGCTGCTGTCTGCCAAGTGTTGGGATTAAAGACATGTGCCACCATGCCTAGCTTATGTCTCTTCTTTTTAAAGAATGTTTCAAGTTAATATTGAGGGACAATTCTTTCTTTATGTTTATGTATTCTCTCTCTCTCTCTCTCTCTCTCTTTCTTGTATGTGTGTGTGTGTGATGATATATGTGTGCACGTCAGAGGACAACTTGCCTGAGTCAGTTCTCTCCTACCTTGTGCCTTCTGGGGATTGAATTCATATTGTCAGTAATATGTTCACTAACAGTGGTTAGCATTATTGAAATTTATCTCGTTAGACCACAAAATATCTGTCTTCACCACAAGTTCATTATGATATGAAAAAATTTTGTTAACTTGTGTTGGCTGATAGATTTAGTTATAAATCTGTGGACTATTTGTAGGAAGCTTCTAGATCTGAAAGTACATGTTTTAAGCTTCATGTCTTTATTTTTATTTATTTAATTATTTTATTTATTTTTATTGAGCCTCCTTTTCTCCCTTTACAAAGCTTTAAAAGTTTGCCTTCTGGCACGTGCCCCCACAATTGGTGTAGGATTATTTATTTATTTTTTGTTTGTTTTGTTTTTAATTGGCAGATGTTTATTGTTTATATTTACAGAGGATACTGGTATTTTGATCTTCATACACATTATGGGAAGATTTAATTGAGATTATATACCCTTCATCCACTCACTTTTTTTCTTATAAGAATTAAAAAAGTCTGTTTTTTAGAAAATTTTAAATGTTAATATTTATTAGTTTCTATGGTCCTGGTCCTGCACTGCCTTTCACTAAAACTTAATGGTTGTATGTATATATCTATATTTATTTGATAATACCTGTCACATACAAATAACTTAACCAAAACTTTTTTTCATATCTTCTCTGGTAAGAAATCTGAACTACTACTTTGATTAGTAGTGCTCATCTTACAGAAAGTATGCAAGTTTTTTAGAGAATTTTTTTTTCTGGATAGTCATGATTTTTGTTTCTTTTCATGAAAGTTGTAAAGTTTTCTGTAGCAAGGATTTTTCATTCCACTTAATGCCTTACTATTAAAATTAGGTAAGATTAAATTATGTTTATACTTGTTCAAAATTATTAGGAACACTCTGTGAAGAAAAAGAAGAAAAAGGAAAAGCATTCAAAAAGAGTGAAGAAAGAGAAAAAAAAGAAGAGCAAGAAGCAGAAACGTGAAGAAAAGAGTGAGTCAACTGACAGTTCCTCAGTGAGTAAGCGCTGTGCCGGAGCCCTGCACCTGTGCAGTGCAGTGGACTGAAAGGAATAATGTTATGATAGGAAGTGTTTACAAGACATCCATTTGGAGTTCCTGGAATGGAGATTGTTGGTTTTAGAAAATGGGATATCACTTATTGATCTTTGTTGTTTGGAGATGTAACAGTAATGAACTGTGCAGGGAAACTGAAAGGTGCACACCAATACTGAAGTACTACATGGGAAAGAGAGAAAACTACTTGTACAAAAGTGGTTGGAAATTATAAGTCAAAGCAGCAAAGAATTGTGTTATAAAAATAAGGGAGCAGAGTTTTAGAACACTGGAGTCTATTTTTCTTTGGTATTTCAGTTTTCGTCACAGAAAGTAACATCTAAATCTTCAAAGTAGAATTTATTTATTTATCTTTTCGGCTAAAAAGAAGAGAGTGTTGAGTAGCCAGTTCAATTCTGTGAGGACACAGAAAAAAAGCAAGCAAGCCAAATCTGTCATAACTTATTTTCAAGACGAAAGGGGTTAGTGTAGAAAGTGATGGCAAAAAAATGTTTAGGGATGATTATTTCTCCAGACAAAATTGGGTTTTATTAGAATCTTTAAGAGAGATTACATAGTCTTAGTGACAGGAAACCTTGCAAGATAAGTGCTATGATCAGGTTTCCCTGTAGCACTCCAAATACGTGGTGTATAGAGAGACTGGGGAAGGAAGGAGAGCAGGGAAAATGGGCGTCCTAGAGCTGTATTTGGTGATTAAGTTGTGAAGGTGACAATAAGATCTGGTTTAAGACTCCTGTTTTAAAGATGGAAAGGGAGATATGTGTTAGTTGAAATCCTTTGTTGCACGTTATAGAAACTAAACAATTTAGCAGACTTGAAGTCGGAAGGACATATTATTCAGGTATAAATATTCAGGTAAGACATTTAAATATAGGAGTAAGCTTAATCCCAGTAACAGATGGAATTGGAATTGGAGTTGTAAGTGCTTTATAATCCTAACTGGTCCAGTTTTTTTTTTTTTTTTTGAGTTCCACTTTTCAACACACAGCTAGATCCTGACAATGTCTTCCCAGTTCTCTTTGATTTTACATCAGCCCATTTGACTTCATTGTCAATTTCATTGACAAATAACTGTTTTGGCTAGAACTGTAGTTGGGGCTGGGATTGAGGTATGCTCACAGGGCAGTGATGTAGTGTTTGCTTTATGGAATATTTGACTAGTGTTTTGGAGTTGAAAATCAGCTTGGATGGGTGGGCAAGATGATCCTGTAATTCCTGACTTGATGATGCCAGGTAACTCAGTTTAGTAATTCAGCAGGTGAAACAGGCTTTGTGGAAATGAAGGGTTTATTGTTCTTGAGTTTAGCATAACACTCAAGATGGTAATTAAGTCACTAAAGCTTTGGTTGTACAAATAAAGGAAGAAGAAAAAAGGTAATTAAAATGATGAGAATGAATATAATGGGGGCAAGAGAGTGTGTAGAGAATAAAAATTATATTAGTGAGAAGGTGGAACCTCAAGAGTGCTTAAAATCTGAGTAAAGGATGGAGAATATAGGAAGAAAATAAAAAGTAAACATTGAGGGTTGGACTGAAGAACATCTTGAAAATTTTGAATGTGAGTGATCAGCAGAGTTGAAGTTCTGGAGATAAAGACTGGAATATTTTGTTGAGCTTGGAAATGTGGCAGCCATTTATGAAGTTTGAAGAATTGTCACTAGATTAATGTGTATTATAGTTATGAGTTTAGAGAACTGTTTGAGCAATTACTTTTTCAGTAATATTGTCTTAGAAAAGGAGTTGGAGGATGAATTGCTGCTGTAATCATACATAAGGTAAGGAAATGCCCCCCATCCAAAAAGAAAGGAATTTGAAATGCTTAAGCTCATACATCTCTAGGCCATCAGAGCCCTTACTTGGAAGCAAATCAGAAAGAGAGAGAGGTTGGTGGCTTGACTGAGACCAGAATCCTTGGAGGAGGACCTACAGCAGCAGGAGCAGTTAACAGGAGGGTAGATCTAGCACAACTGTCAGTAATTTTGTCAGGGGTTGGGGAAATAGAAAGCGAAAGTGACCTCTTTTTGGTAAGGTAAGATGAGAGATCATTTGTCCTGCGTGTAGGAATTGTTAATTGGTAAAAAAAAAAAAAACTCCAGGTGTGTATGAAGAAGGTAACAGTGGTCTGCTTATTAGAGTGGGTCCAAAGTTGGCAAAAGTGATTGTGGTTTCTGTGGTCATAGAACTTACTACCTAAATCAATTAAGGATCAGTAAGGTGAACTCTAGTTTCATTAGTGTCTAATTAACTGAAATTGCAGGTGGTGATGGCTTCTGTACTAGTTGGAACTGGGTGATAAAGTTCCCAGTGGCTCAAACTAATGAATTCAAGTCACTGATCATACAGAGAAAATTCTCACTTTAACATTCCTGTAGCAGGACACACCAGAACTCAAACATCATTGTTATTTTACTTCATTTTAGCAAACTGGCCCTCTTTCCCCCCCAACTCCCCAAAGTGCCAATTGTTTCAGGCTGTAAATCCCCATTTTAGTGCATGGCATCAAGAACTGTGAGGCACTAAAGTGACTTGACAATATAAACTTGAGTTAGGCTGGAACTAAGTGTGTGTGTGTATCTACTTTATATATATAATGATTATTTTATATCTATCTATATATGAAATGATTATTTTTAAAAATATGTAAATATTTTATTTTATTCATACGTAAATATGAATAAGTTATGGCATTTCAATACAAAATAAGGCATGAATGAGTAAATAGAATCTGTTTTGGGAAACAGTTGGCAGTTAATATGACAGTACGTAAATATGTTTTACATATTTCTTATATCACAGATATACTTGTGGCTAGAGCCACATCAGAAGAGCATTTGCTCCTTTTTCAGAGTACTGAAGTCCAGTAGTTCTTAGCCCCCGCATTGGGTGGCTCACAACAGCCAACTGTAGTTCCAACTCCAGGATATCTAGACCATGTGCTACACACAAAAACACACAAATACACACACACACACACACACACACACACACACACACACACACACACAGAGCCTTAGGATTTCTACCGCTGCAATTAAATACCATGACCAAAGAGCAAGTTGGGGAGGAAAGCATTTATTAGGCTTATAGTTCAGCATTGCTTTTCAACACTGAAGGAATTCGGACAGTAGCTCAAAACAGAGCAGGATTGTGGAAGCAGGAACTAATGCAGAGGCCATAGAAGGGAGCTGCTCACTGGCTTGATTTCCTTGGCTTGCTCAGCTCATCTTTTTATAGAATCCAGGATCAGCTGCTCAGGGATGGCACCACCCACCATGGGCTGGGCCCTCTCCCATTGATCACTAAATGAAAAAGTGCCTTACAGTTGGATCTCACAAAGGCATTTCCTCAGCTGAGGCTCCTCCCTCTGATGATTCTAGCTTTTGTCAAGTTGACACACAAACCACACAAAAACCACCCAGTACAACTGACCCCTTGTCAACTTGACATCACTACTAAACCCCAAGTCTTCCTTTATTATTCATCCCCAAGATTTCACATTAAGAACATAAAAGTTCCACTGTCTTTACAAATTATAGTAACTATTCTTAAAATCCAAGGTTTTTCAAAATTCAAAGTCTCTCAACTGTGGACTCCTGTAAAATAATGTTCTTACTTTAAGAGGGAGAAATCAGAATACAGTCACTATCAAAGCAATACATAATTTCAACTGTTCAGTATTTGGGATCCACTCATGATCTTCTGAACTCTTCCAAAGAGCTTGGATCACTTCTCTAGCTCTGCCTTCTGCAACAAACACAACTGTCTTCTGTTCACTGACTGGCTCTAATCCATTGTTTCTGCTGTTCCTCATGGTCATTCCATGGTACTGGCATCTTCAAAATGCTAGAATCTCTCACTGCAACTGGGCTGCACATTCACCAATAGCCTCTACAAGGCTCTCTTCATACTTCTTTGCATGACCCCTTCAGTCCTGGACCTTCAGCTGCCACTGAGACTGCACCTTCACCAATGGTCTTTCCTGGCCTTGCATAGTGCAGAACCTCAGCTGCTTTCCATGAAACCTTCATGCCTTTCAAACCAGTACCACCTGGGTGACGCTCACACATATCCAAGTCCAGATACCAGCATGAGGTACAACCTTGGCCGCCTCTTAAACATAGTTTCCCTATGCTGTCAAAAGACATTTCCTAGAAGACTTCACCTCAGTGATGCTGGTCTCTTCTTAACCACCACTAATTTCTTAGCTCTAAAGAGTCAGCATCCAGTATCCTAGCAAAGTAAAATGTTGCTTTAGTAATATTGTTATCTTGTTGATCACAACTCATTCTTCAGCCCCAGGTAACCAGAACCACAGGATCATAATTCAAAATAACACATGGCCCTTTAAACTTCTCTCTGAAATTTCACAAGTCAGGTCTCCATCTTCTACATTGTTCTTTCAAGCTCATAAAGAGTGTCCCACTGAGCTCTTAGTACTTACTGGTTCTTCTAGCCCAAAGTTCCAATGTCCTTAAACAGTCCTCATCAAAACATGGTCAGGTCTGTCCCACTAATATCCCACTAAGCTGGTACCAGTTTGTCTTAAGGTTTCTATTACTGTGATGAAACACCATGACCAAAAGTTAAGATGGGGAAGAAAGGGTTTATTTTGTTTACATTTCAGCATTGCTGTTCATCACAAAAGGACAGGAGCTCAAACAGGGCAGAACCCTAGAGGCAGAAGCTGATGCAGAGGCCATGGAGTGGAGCTGCTTACTGACTGCTCCCCTTGGCCCATTCAGCAGAACTTCTGATAGAACTTAGGACCTCCTGCCTAGGGATGGCACCACCCACGATGGGCTGGGCCCTCCCTCAATGAATACTAAATGAGAAAATGCCTTGTAGCTGGATCTCCTCAAGGCATTTTCTCAACTGAGGCTCCTTCCTAGCTTATGTCAAGTTGACTCAAAAAACCAACCAGCATACAAACAAATATTTAAAAATGCTTTTAGGCAGTTTTGAGGAATTTTTCATGGAAGAGAGAAGAGCATCAGTTTTTTTCAGGGTCTCTATTCACTGACACTAGCACTCGTGTAAACTGGCATGTCTTCACATGCCTATAACCGAAGCACTGTGTGGAAGCTGAAACAGGAGGTTTTCTTGGTCTTACTATCTGCTGAGACCAAGTTCATTCAGAGACTCTTAACAAGGGAATAAGGTGGAGAGTGATTGATAGAGCAGGGTAACCAACCCAGATGTTATTAGAGGTCTCTGCAGTTTAGGTCTAGGGAAATCCCCAAATTTTACACTTAGGGCAAACAGTGAACTCCTTTACATGGTTATTATTTCCCTGGTGCTATTTAGACAAACTTATGAGTTCATTTGGATGTTGGTAGAAATTGAGCCTTGCTTTGGTGCTTTTCTTGCTAGCTTTTTTATTTTTTGATATAACTCATGAGAGAAAGAATGAATTTGGTATGTCTTTGGGCTCAAACCAAAGTAGGATTTTCATGTTATTTCTTCAGGTTTTCCCATATTATTTTCAAAAGGGAAAATCAATGAAAGTATCTCTTGTAATAAGCTGAATTATTTCCACTTAACATCAGAATTTTATATATAAGTATGCAAATTGTGAATGTTATGTATATGCTAAATGTTTCTAGAGCTCTGAAGAGTGGGTTGAGGCTGTTCCCTCCCAGATACCTGGCAAAGAAAAGACCTGGAAAGTGAAAGACAAAAGTCTAGAAAAAGAATGTGACAGCCATGCTATGCAGGTAAGCACCCACCTGATTTAGAGAGAAAAGGCTTCTAAGTACAAATGGATATTAAACTGATGATTATAACTTCCTCAGGAGAATTATACTTTACAGTAGTTTATGAAGCCTCTCCACTGGTGTTCAGACTAGCCTTCTGCTATGGAAGGTAGATGCTTATCTGTGCTGCAGCCCTTCAGGGCTCCCTCACCAATGATTGTTGGCATTTTCCTCTTTTTTTTTTTTTTTAAAGATTTATTATTTATTATGAGTTCAGTGTTCTGCCTGCATATATCCCTGCAGGCCAGAAGAGGGCACCAAATTTCATTACAGATGGTTGTGAGCACATGTGGTTGCTGGAATTTGAACTTAGGACCTTTGGAAGAGCAGGCAAAGCTCTTAACCATTGACCTGGCATTTTCCTCTTTTAACGGATTTACCAAATACTAGAAGTCTCTGAATCTTTTGGATATGTCAGTTTCAGCTTTTCTTTCTCTGCCCTTTATGTTGCAATTTGCTTAGCAATGCTTATAGGTCAATAGCAAGTAAATTTTGAGTTCTGGTTCATATGCCTAAGAAAGACTATAATTTACCCAATTAGCCATAGATACAGGAGGAAAGGTGAACAGGAGCTAACATTTCATTGTGTGTGCCAGACCCTATATTGGCTGCCTTTTATATATATTTTGTTTACTCCTTAAAACAAACTTGAATGGTGAGTTCTTTACTGCACTTTTATAAGGGAATGACTAAGGTATAGCAAAAACAAGAAGCTTCTTGAGAGTGGCTAACCACTTATGTTTGTTCCTGTTTGGTGCCTGCAGTCTCTGATATTAAGAAGGTCTTAAGTACAGATTAAAATGGCTTCATTCTTTTAAACAGCGGGATGAGTGGATGACTGTTGATTTTATGTCTGTTAAAACTGTGTCTTCATCATCACTCAAAGCGGAAAAGGAAACTCTAAGGAAAATAGAGCAGGAGAAAGCCCAAGCACTAGAGCAGGTAAGAGAGCAGTTTCAATGTTTTCATTTTGAATTGCCTTAAAATAAATACCTTATTTGTAATACTACTTAAGCATGTTTTTAAATGGTATTTGATAACAGTGGTAACTAAGGAATGTGAAACTAATTTTTAAAAAGTAAATTTCTTGTAGAAAAGCTATTTAAAAGCATCCTAGAGCTTGAGCGATGTTCAATAAGAATACAGACTACTGTACCAGAGGACTCAAATTGGGTTTTCAGCTCCCACATGACAGCTGACAACCATCTGTAACTCTGGTTCTAGAGGTTTATTATTTACCTTTGGCCACCGGGGGCTCTGCATACATGTGGCACATAGACATACATGCAGACAAACCACTCATACACATTAAAGTAAAAATAGACTTTTTTTTTTTTTTTAAGAGATGTATACTAGATTCGGGCTGGAAAGATGGATCAGTGGTTAAGAGCATGTATTGCTCTTCCGGAGGATCCAGGTTCAAGTCCCAGAACTCACGGTGTATGATTCATGGCTATGTGTAACTCCAACTTTAGGAGAGCCAATACATCTGGCCTGGGCAGGCACTTGTACACATGTTCACATATTTACATCTAAACACAGGAACATAAGATTATCTTTTAAAATTTATCTTAGATGCATAAATCTATGTGAATGTAGTTGAGCAGTTATTATCTGTTACTTGACTGTCATGAATTACAGTTGAACTATCAACTGAGCTTCAGTGTATACATAAATCACTTATAAGAATGCTTTCAAGATGCTTAGAACGTCATAGGAAGTGTTAAACAAGCATTTTTATGCTGTTGTTTTCACACTGATGTCCTGAAAACAATGGGAAATCCTTAGAGACCACGAACTATAGAAATGCTTTCAGAAATTGTCTTATAATTTCTTTGAATGTAATATAGATCAACAAGTGAAAAATGTAGCAAGAGATTTTGACAGTTCTGTGGTCAGTGTTGTTTTTGTTTTTTCTCAGTCTAATTTTAAATATAAGTGTGGAATTGTACTGTAATCAAGCTGCTACTTGTGTGGAACATCGAAGGACATGATTTTTGGGATGTCTTGTCTAAGTTTTGGGATATCTTGTCTAAGTCTCTGAGTTAGACTTAATGGTTCTGAGAAGTAGTAGGTGTTCAATAAAGACACATGACATTGTTATTGGCAAGTTCTATAACATGTCTTAAGATTTTTACATGATATGTTGACGCTTTTATATCCAACAATTAGCCACCTTAAATGACTTAGTCATTTCCATGGTGATTGACTTTTACATTCTAACCTTTCAAAATGTTTTGTTCTAGTCCAAACTGCTTGAAAGAGAATTGAATCCATACTGGAAGGATGGTGGGACAGGTCTCCCATCAGAAAATTGTATACTGGCGGTTACTAAAGGTATCTTTATATTTTTTGTAGACTTGTGCACATATCTCAGTTTCTGATAATGAACATGGTAAAGATCGTTAAAGTACGTTATGTACTTGTGTGAAAATGTCATAATGAAACCCACTATTTTCTGCAGGTAATATATACTAATAAAAAAGTACAAATTCTTAAAGTTTAATGTTCCTAAGAGAATGGCTTGAGTTTATATATGACAAAATACTTATGAAATATCTGCAGTCTTTTGAAATCTTACTTACGTCATTATGGAAAGTTTACTATTATGTATTTTGCAGCAAGATAATTCAGTATATGTTGTTCATAATAGCCATCATTTGCAAGTTTCTCTTTTAAATGGGCTAAGACAAATCATGGTTATATGAAACTTTATATTGCATTCAAATTGTTAAATTCTATAGCAAAATACAAAAATGTATTTAGTTAAAATTTATGCAAATAATGTATCATTAATGATGCAATTTTATTGCTTTTAGAAATTCCTCATTCATCAGGATTCACAAAATTTTTGTTGTTCTTAGGAGGAGAGTACTATTGTTTTCTACGCAATGGAGACAAAATCTTTTGAGTATCACTAGTGCTCAGTATTGCCAATTCAGTGATAAGTTCAAATACAATTTAGCCAGAATAAAATAATATTGTAAATAATGATGTTATTTTTTTTGTTTTAGTTATTTATCAGTAAGATATTTTGTTTTATTTATAACTCATTTTTATTTGGCTGTTTCTTAAAGATTCTTTGTGTGGGCATGAAGCTACTGAATCCACTCAAAGACATCTTTAGAATTCTTAATTAGTTATAGCACTTGTGTGTTGTACATGGGGTTTTTCTGTCCTGACCTCCTGTTCCCAAATAACCACTCAGAGTCTTAGTATTAATTGTAATTGCTTAACCAATAGCTCAGGCTTGTTACTAACTGGCTCTTATATTTCAAATTAACCCATATTCCTTGTTTATACTCTGCCACAAGGCAATATTTTTTTTAACATGGCATGTTCATCTCCTGTTCCCTCTGCATCTGGCTGGCAGCTTCTTTGACTCTGCCCTCCTTTCCAGTGTCCTTAATTTGGTTGTCCCAACTATATTTCCTGCCTGGCTACTGGCCAATCAGCTTTTCGTTAAACCAATCCGAGTGGCAAATCTTCATTCATAGTGAACAAAAGGATTATTCTACAGCAGCACGTTTTATTCTGTTTTTTTTTTTTTTTTTGCATGGACAGAAATGTCTCTACCAGATTAGATAATAGTAATGGTAGTCATACAAAGTCCTCTTTGAAACACAGCTTTCTAGGAAGTTAATAGGTAGGGAACAATGAGTTAGCTCAGTCTGAGACTTAGAGTGGTCAGGTGATTTGTCTGTAGTCATGTAAGTACTAAGGGACCAGGCCACAGATTCACATTGAAGCATTCATTACTGCAGATTTTTGAGAAGACTGAATTTATTTCATGGGCTTAGTGGACACTGATTTATGGTCTTTTTCAGTGAGTTCTGGTTAATTCTTTCTCCTTTTCTCTTTTTGGACTTTTCTGTCAGAACCTTTAAAGGTGGTTTAATTGGATACTTTATTTAGCTGAAGATGTGAAAATTTTTTGATGTTATAAATATTTTGTATTTAGTAGTAGCAACAAGACTGAAGTCTAGGTTTCCTGGTGGCTTAGTTTATTGTTTTGTTTTTTTTTTCCCTCTGAATTGTGTTTAGAGAGAAATGGAGAGATTTCTAGTGTTTGGTTGTATTTTGTTTATTATAGCATAGCATAACTTGTTAGAACCATTAAATTAAAACTTAATTTTACACTTACTCAAAAAGTTAGGTGTGGGATACAGCTATATTTTAAGTGTACCATACCTCTGAATTTACTGTAATTACTGATAGAGCTTTTTTCAGCACAGATGGGTAGAACTATGCTTATGGTTTTTGAGAATGTTAAATATTTAATTAAGGACTTCGTGATTGAATCTGAGGATTCTGCTGCAAGTTCTGTTTCCTTTAACATATTAAATTGGGTAATTTCTCAGCAGTATATTAGTATCAATCCTGGTGATAACATTGATAAGACTGTTTCCTAACTGATTTTTATTCTAGTTAGGTTTCACACAGAACCGCATAGGGAAAGCAGTTTTAATTTTGTTTTCCTAAATTTCTCTCTGAACTTCTAATATCATAGTGACAGTTGAGGAGAGATTTTCAGGATGCCCATTTGTTATTTGATCAGTGATCTAATTATGTAGCTGGAATATTAATAAAGACATAAATTGCTGTGGGTTTTCACTTATAACTATGCTGACCACAGATTTGGGCTAAGTTCCTTGACTGCTTACAGTATATAATATATGCTATATAAGTAAAAAAGTCCAAGTGAAATAACATTTTGAATGAAAAGTGCCATCATTAGAGATCTGGGCTTGAATCAGAAAGTGTTACAGATCTATAAAGAAAGACCTCTTTGTATTAGAAGAGATTGTTGAGATTTGAGTAAAATAATACAGTTAATATGAATATAATTTAAAAATCAGTTTTGCTTTTAGTTCTGTCTTTAAATTTAAAAAATATTTGTGTTACTTTTGGTTATGCAATGTGAAGTTGGGGTGATATGAATGTCAGTGCTGACCAGTTATGTCAAATCTGGAGCTAGAGTTATAGACAATTGTGAGCCAACTTATGTAAGTGTGGGAACTGAACTCTTGGATCATCTGATAAAGAAAACACATCATGCTGCTAACCTCTATTCCTTCCTAAGCCTCTTTTCAAAGTCTGACATACATAGAAAAGTACCTAAACCATAAGTGAAACAGAATGAAGTGTCATAGAGTGTTATGGAGAAGCAGCAGTCTTAACACCCCAGAAACGTTTTCATCCCCTTCTAGTAACTTGCTGGAGGGGTAGCCATTGTCCTATTTTCTACATTTGTGCTCTTAATCTTTTTAATTCTTTTGTCCACATTTGAAGTTCCTCCATATTGTTATGAATAAGTATTTCATTCATTCTCGAGGCTGTGTAGTTGTACATTTAAGAATAGATCATGATCCCTGTGTCCCTCTCTGATTTTGACTGTTTTCATGTTGGGCTGTTGGTAGGCTGTTCTGATATGAAGATTCTTGTGCTTGTCTCCAAGAGCTTGTGTGTATTTCTTGACTCTAGAGCTAGCAGGATCTAAAGCTGTCCTTATTGGAACAGGGAATATCAGGAACAGAGTTTTAATTTAAGTAATCAATTAAATTTCTTTCTATCAATTGAAAATAGGACAACACACACACACAGTTCATTGAAGGCATTCAAATGTTCATAGCTGCTAATCACAACTAAGGTTTAACTTAATGACATTGTCTTCTATAACTTTCTTATTTATTGTGTTGCTTTCTTCATTGTGTACATTTATTTCTTATTTCTGGGAGGGGCAATTCCCATATATGTTACAACTGAAAGGTTGTAACATATATATGTCTAACTGGAAGGTCAGAGAAAATTCCATAGAATAATGCTTAGGCTAAGCATGATGACTCATGCTTTACATTCCAGGATTTAGGAGACAGAGGCACAGATATATCTGAGTTCAAGGCCAACTTGGTCTACCAGGCCATTTAGGGCTGCATAGTAAGACCCTGTCTCATTAAACAAACAACTAACCTATATATAATTTTATGTTTGTTCTCTTAAATTGGTATTTACTTACAGGTAGTTTGTTTTTCCTTGTTTTCATCATGACAAGCCTTTGTAGCTTCTATAGGTAGGTATTTAAATGTATGGTGAATATTAATTGTGATTATAACTTTAAATTAATCAATGCAAGTATTTAATTTTATACTTTAAAAGTGTTAGAAACAGTAAGTTTTTTTTTTTTTTAATAACCACTGTAGAAGTACGACTGATGTTTTTTATTGGAATTTAGCTTCAGGAGTAGAGGATGGTGGATTAAGCTGGCTAAGAAAGTCTTATCAAAGAATGAAAGAACAAGCTCAAAGAGAAAACAGAAATTTTGTGGATATTGTAGCTGAAAAATATGGAGTAAGTATTTGTGCTTTAAGAAGATATATATTGTTTCATAGTTATTTGAAAACAGTATCTTTCTTTTGAATAATGAAGCAATTTGAATCAAATAATATTAGATTTATCTTCATTCTTTTAAGTAATTTTCTGTTTCTTATGCAAGGATATTGCTTAAAAATGTTTTACACTTATTTTTTTGCATGTGTACTCAGGAATGTACACATGCCACAGGGCCATGTGGAAGTTAAAGGAGTCATTTCTCTCTTCTATTATGTTGTTATCTTATATATGTGGATCCCAGGTACTGAATTTAAGTCATGATGGCTTGTTAGCAATTGCCTTTAGCCTCTGAGCCATCTTGCAAACTTAGCCTACTTTTTTTTTTAAAGACTAACACAATGAATGTAAAACGCAAGTGTATAAAACTTGAAATGTGTGTATGTTTAATATAAAAGTAGAATTTTTCTCATTGGAAGAAAATTTAAATAATGCAGGGGATTCTCTGTAGTACACCTTTAGAAATAAGCATTGTTGAAGTTTTGTTGACTCCAGAGTTTCATATTTTATAGCATTTTGCAATGTGGCTATACTTTAGCATGTTTTTTTTAAGCCATCATGATGTCTTTTCAGGTAATGTTTTAATTGCCTACCTTGTCTGTGAATCAATTCCCACTTGCATAATCCTTTCCTTGTTAAGTTCTTGCAAAGATTTTTATTTTGAGTAGAATTAGATGTAATAGTCTTTCTCCTATCCCCATTTAAAAAGTCCATTCTGTTCAAGAAAATCAACAAATAAGAAGGCCAACCCGGGTCCTTGGGCCCAGGCTGGCAGTCAGTCTGGTTTTTGAGAATTTATTTCATTCAGTATACCTAAACTTTTCCCCGTCATTCTAGGAATTTTTATAAGTTGTATCTGTAGTGTCTGTATGATACTCTATTGTGTAGAACATTTGTTCTCAGTGCATCCCTTTTTGAAAACTTTTAATTTGATTTGATTATTTTTTTTATCTACTTATACTTACTAAAGTATTATTGGTCTGTGGTGATTTTTATGGTTGTGTCTACTTTGGTGGGGGGGTATTTTTATTGTGCCATTTAACAATGCATCATAACACACTTTCTTAATTGTAGATATGTTATTATTCTCTCTTATAGTCAATGGAAATATTCCAGTCAAAATTAAAAGAAGCTGAAAAAATTGCATGCAAAAGAGAAGATTATGGACGGGAAAGGTGGAGGAAGCCTGCATATTCAGATAGTAAGCAGTCTAGTCAAACAAGTAGCATTTCAGACTTAGTGAAATGTAAGAAGGACTCAAAGGACAGACACTTTGCTACAGAGGTTGCAAAGAGGAGCATTGGCGACTGTGAGTTTAGTGGCCCTGACACAAGGAACCAGTCTGGATCTTTAGAAACTTGTATAAGAGAATCTGCCCTAAGACAAAGGGAAGAATCTTCTGGAAATTTGAGACCTAAATTCTTAAGACCCTCTGATGAGGATGAACTGTCGCTTCACAACAAGAGGAGAAATTTTGAGCCGTCTACTTCATCTTCTACATTAGTGGCTCAGGCTTCTTTGCATTGTGATTTTCAAAAACCCACAGAGAACAGTGAAGAAAATTTGACTTCCTGGAGCCTGTGTGGTAGGCAAGGAGGATACCGAAAGCATTCAGATCAAAAGCCACTGGAAACCTGGAGCCACAGTGCTGATCAGCACTCTCCAGGAGACAGGAGAGAACAGTTGCAGGCTGAGAGCTTGAGGGGTGACCCACCAAGAAGAGGACATCTGCAGAACATAAAGGCAGCATTTTCTGGGTATTTTATAAATACTTGTATTTTTTTTCAGTTAGGTTCTTGAGTGGGATTATACAAAACTTGATTTTGTCATAGGGGTGACTCTTTTGGAGGTTTAAAAAAATTGTATCCTAAAGATAAGGACTAACTTCCACTTAAATCCTTAAAATAGATTAAAGCTCTGGGAGATAACTGGGGATAGTGGGCATAGCAGTATGTATCTATAAACTTAGTGCTCCAGCAGAAAGATGGGAGGTGGAAACAAGAGAAGCCGCTGAACCTCATGAGCCAGATAGCCTTTGGAAACTGAAGCAGAAGTTTTGTTATAATGACTGGATAACCATGGCAAGAATTAGAGAAAATTAATGTGTACAGTAACAAAAACGAGAGACTCTGTTTCAAACAACCCAGAAGGCAGCCCCAACACTAAGGATTGTCCTCTGACCTCCACACTCTTGCCATGTGCCACTGAAAGGAAAAATGTTGATTGAATAACCATTGGAGGGAGTAGAAGAAGTCAAACTACATGGGCGCCTTTTTGTTTCAAGTCCCCAATTGCCAATGGGTGATGTCATTAAGTATTGATATCATTAATACTGCTTAGCATTTGGGCACAATGTGCTGGTCTTGTTTCCTTTGAATGTAGATGAGCCATGTGTGCAGACTTCCATACAAACATTGTTACTATTCTATCAGGTTGTTGAATTGCTTCATTTCTGTTATGTCTTCTAACATTGTAGATTTCTAGTACTTATAATACAGGAATGGAATGCAGGCCCTGTGGTCTGATTTTATTTTTTTTCAGATTAGTTAATTTGATGTTAGAAGAAATTTGTAGCTTTTAATGAATTCCATGATTAGCTGGAGAGAAAAAGAATTTAGGAATCATCCCTTTATATTTGGAAGAGAAATATTTCTGAGTGATCAAGTAGTGGTAAGAAAGCAAGAATGCCAGAAAGTGTCAGTGAAGGAGTGCTGAAACCTATTAGTGTGTCTGGACATTGTTGTGAGATATGTTTGATTGTTAAACCAATGCTAGGATTCTAGGAATTTTTAAAACCAGTGAACTTCAGAACTGTAGAAAGGTTACTAACCTAATTTTAGAACCAGAAGAGATCATAGTCTGAGCCTTACATTTTTCATCTGTGAAAAGTGAGGGAATTGAAGTTGTAATCCTCATCATATAACTATTGTTGCTTGACTTAGTAAATAAAAAAATTATTTTAAGCAGTTAGACATATTTATGCTTTAAATAACAAACAGAAACCCTGTGGCTAACCTGGAATTTGAATAAAACTAGATTTATACATTTTATCTGGCAGCTATGTAGCCCATTAAATTTTTACTAGATACATACATTTGTTTCTTTAAGTAAGTGTAGTAGTGGTACATTTGTGTAGTTGGTTTCTTTTTCTTTATTTGCATCATTGGTAGCTTTCCTTTTCTAACCATTCTTTCATTTTCTTTCGTAGGATCATCTTTAGCAGTTCTCCTTCATACTTTTTTGAGCCTATGATTATCTTATAGGAAAACATCATCTAATAGTTGGTCACATGAATTAAAGCTTTAAGCTCATTATTCTTAGAGACAAAAATGTGTTTGTGTATATTTTTCTTTTGTTGGAAAAATATATTAACAAGCACTTTTAGAAGCCTGAAACCCAGAGTGGTACTTAAAATGAGTAGAACATATTTTGTCCTTAATTTAGAGTTTATATATAATCAGAAACTAACACATTTAATATACTATTTGTACCTTTGGCTGTGATCTTTCCAGTTTGGCATTATAGCTCAGAAAGGCAAGAGAAGGCTGTCAGACTCTTAGTTTCTGAGTAAGGTTCTTAGATAGGAGAGAAAATGTGAAAGTGTAGTGAGTAAAGCATAATTACAGAGCTCAGTGACCACAGCCATCAGAAAAAGGAAACTTGAAATATTCTCAAGTTTTTCTACAATATCAGAGAGCCGAACTGTAAATGGAGATTACACTTTCGTTTCCTGTCTGCCCAGACCTAAATAATCACACAGAAATTATTTTAATTACAACCCTGTTTGGCCAGTGGCTCAGAAGTATCCTAGCTAGCTCTTACATCTTAAATTAATCCATTTTTATTAATCTATATATTGCCACAAAGCTGTTTCTTACCGGTAATGTTGTGGTATCTTTTTCCTTTGGGCGGCTACATGGTATCTCTTCACTCTGCCTTCTCTCTCTCTCTCTCTCTCTCTCTGTCTCTCTCTCTCCCCCTCTCTCTCTCTTTCTTTGTGTCTCTGTTCGGATTTCCCACCTTGCTTTACTCTACTAAACCATTGGCCTAAACATCTTCTTCATCAACCAATAAAAGCAACACACATACAGAAGAAGGACATCCCACAATCCCACATTACTGAACTCTGATTATTTTCCTCAGTAGAGGTTCGGTGCTCGTGTGTGTGTGTGTGTGTGTGTGTGTGTGTGTGTGTATGCATGCAAGTGAATTTGTGTGTACTTTCAGAATACACATTTTAATGGGAAACCGGTTGATTTTTATAGAAACTAATTATGAAGGAGACCGCAGAAAAATCTCTGTAATCCAGGAAAATGATACATTACTATACTTCTTTCTTACATATAGGATATGAATGTTCTATTTATTAGCATGTGTCTATTTGTAGAAAGATAGGCTTCACTTTGACATTTAAGTCTGGATCTGCTCATGTTTACTAGATAAGGTGCTCAGGACCTCTGGAAGAGCAAACAATGCTCTTATCCTCCATCTTTCCAGCCCCAACCACACATTTTATATAAGTGGGGAATATATACATTATGTAATTTGGGTAGAAGCTGGCCTCTTTAACTGAGCATGGTTGTTTTTAGTTTCATTCAGGTCAGTTTGTTCTGTATATTAGTAGTTCACTACTTTTGATTGATTGAAGATGCCATTTGTTTGTAAACCAATTCATTCTGATTCTTCATTCCCTCTTGGTGGACTTTTAGATTGCTTCTTGTTTTTGACCATTACCAACAAAGTTTTCTGTGCACTCATATGCTTATGCTTTTCTATAGCATTCCCAAGAAATGAATCACTCGATCATATAGTACTTGTACTTTAAATATTAAGAAAATATGACTGTTTCATAGAATTGTTATTTTATGTTAGTAATAGCAGAATTATGGAAGCATCTTTTCCCCTATTTACCTTCGAACACTTGGCAATGGCACACTTTTTAAACTGGTTACTAGTTGTAGCCCACAGTTTCACAGTTTTTGTTTTTTGAAGCTCCCTTATATGTACAGACATAAGGATTTCTATGTACTTTAATAGCTCAGCCCGTTTTTCTTATGAAATGACCCTCTTTGTCCAAAATAATATTTTGTGTTGTACAGTAATTTGTCACATATTTACATAGATACTTCAACTTTTGACTAATGTTGACACAGTGTATATTACTTCCTTTTACATATAGCACATTTGTATCTTGATATTTATAGAACATTTTGTTAATTAAAAAGTCCATAGATAATATCTACTTTTTAATACATATATTTAGATAATATAGGCTGAATATCCCTTATCTCAAATGCTTGGGGCCTTTTTAGTGGTATGGCTTTTATTTATTTTACTTTTTACATCTGTATATGCATCATGTGATTGTTTGGGAAATCTGTCTGTGCATAAAATATACTTTGTCCCATAAATATCTAAATATCTAGTAAATACATGTGTGTGTGTGTGTGTGTGTGTGTATGTATTTTGAAGGTAAGACTTAATAATCTGGTGTTTTGAGTGTGATTATGATGTAAGATCAAGTATATGATATTAATGCTAAAACATTTAGCTCTTTCTCAAATCATTTTCAAATTTCATATGCTTTGGTTGGTGGTATGCTCAATAACATAAAAAAAAAACTTCAGATATTCTTTTGTTTTTCTGTTGTCCCATCTATCCTCACAGTTCAAACTTCCTTGAGCTGCTTCTTCATTTTCAATAAAGTTGGGGGATTTGAGTCTCTTTATTTCCCTTCCCTTCTAGGGACTTTCCATATGATAGAGAATTTAGGATTCCCATGCAGCCTTCTGATGATGTTTTTAAATTTTTTTGTTTCATTTTGTTTAGTGTATTGGTCCTTTAGTATCTGATTTTTTTAAAAAAAATTTAATGTGGTGTTTTTAATCTCTGGGTTGTTTCCCGGACTAGAAGTTCAATTTGCATCTTTTTTGTTTTTGTTTGTTGTTGTGTCTTTAGACACCAAGCTGGCTTGGAACACTCTTAACATCTTGCCTTATCCTCCTGACATTAGATGTGCCCACCAAGCCTGGTTTAAAGTGGCTCTTCAATGGCTCTTTTGAACAAATGGGATACATTTATCCTAATAATTGAATATACTTATTTCTTGTATCTGTGTCAGTTCTGGACGGCTTTTGCTTGGTAGAATTTTCTTTTAAATATGAGTTATACTTTTCTACTTGCATATCTGATAATACCTGGATATTAGATATAATGGTATTTACTTGTTGAACACTACATTTGTCCTGTTTTTTTATTGGCATATATTCATCATATGAATTGATCAATTTTATAAGACCATTTTCATTCAAATGTATAACATCTTTAAATATTTTTGCATTTTGTTTTGAAATGTAACTAACGGGAAAGCATTTGCTACTTTCTTACTCTTAATCTTAACATTTTTTTTTTAATTTGGGCTCCAAGTAGCATTTTAGTGTGCAGGACATATTTCCTAAGGCTTCTACCCAGTATTTTCCCACTTATGCAACTTTGCTCTGTGACTTGTGGGACCATATACTATTATCAGAATTCCTTTTAACGTTTCTTTAATTATGTGGGAGAATTGTTTCTCTGACTCCAGGGCAGCCCTGAATGATTCTTTCCTGGTATCACTTTCTCTTGGCAGTCTGTACAGTGACCTGGGACTACTTTGGACTTGTGTGATTGTTACTATTCTTTCCTTGCTCAGGACTTCTCCAGACTCTTGCTGGGTTCACCCTCCTTTTCTGTAGCCTCGACTCCTAAGAATCTTAAGGTGGGGTTATCTGACATTGGCTGAAATTTTCTCTAAATGAGCCTTCTCTTTAGCGTATGATCTCAATTTTAAATTATTTTGCTTATAATTAGTTATAGAACAATTTAGCAAAATAACACGCAATTGCTGCTTTTAATTCTCGAATGTGGCTAAATATACCATCCCAAGTTTACAGTTATGATTAGTAATTTATCATATTGAATACTAAATTTCTTAAGATATAAAAAATTGTGGTCTGACATTAATGCTTTTGTTGGCTTTCTTTTTAAAATCAGTGTAGATTTTGTTTCTGAGACAGGGTCTCTCAGTGAAGCCCAGAGTGGCCTCATTTAATATGCTCAAGGTGGCTTCTAACTCATGGCAGCTTCCAACTTTGGTCTACTAAGTGTTGGGATTACAGGTGTGCACTAGTACACTGGCTGAGTTTTTTAAAAAATAAAGATGTTAATTTGTATATTATTTATTTATCTTACAGTTAACAGTACTCTCCAGTTATTACTGCAACTATAATAGGTTATTCTTTGTAACAGAATCTTGAAGTGCAATTCACCCTAGAATGCTGAATGTAATTCTTTTGTGTTAGAATTGTGATCTTCTATTGGTCCTGAATGCTTTACTGAGGTCAGTTTAAGATAATGCATAATTTTAAATTATGGCATATGTTCTTCTGTCCTGTTTCACCTGCAGTCCAGAGGCAGAGTCCACCTGTATCTTGAACGTTGATGAAAAGAACAAGTTGGGGGCCAAGATTATCAAGGCAGAGATGATGGGAAATATGGTAAGACCCGTGTGTGCTGTTCACTTGGAGAAGAATGAAATGTTTAACCTTCACAGATAAATTTAGAAGCTTTAGCTATTTAGATATGGCATTCTTTGAAGATATTACTTCTTCTTAATTTCTTTTTTCTTTTATTATTAAGAATTTTTTTAATACAATCTTTTCTCATTTTACATAGCTATCCTCATTCCCACTCCTTCCCCACATCCTGCCCCACCCTTCCCCCAATGCAACTCTCCTTCCTTTCCTCAGAAAGGGTAAGGCTTCCCTTGGCGAGTCAACAAAGTCTGACACTTCACTTCTGGGCAAGACCAAGGCCCTCCAAAAAGAATGTGCTCCTAGATGCCAGTTTAAGCACTAGGGATAAATCCTGGTCCTATTGCCAGTGGCCCCACAGATTGCTCAAACCTCACAACTATCTCCTATATTCACTGGGCCTAGTTTGGTCCTTTGCAGGTTCCCTTGCTATCAGTCCAGAGTCAGTGAGCTCCCATTAGCTCAGGTAAGTTGTTTCAGTGGGTATCATAATCATGGTGTTGACCCCTAGCTCCTCCCTCTCTTGGACTGTTCTCCTGTAGATCAGCCCAGTTCTTTGCTGTAGATCTCTTTTATCTGTTTTCATCAGTTGCTGGTTGAAGATTCTATTTTCTGATTACAGGGGAAGGCCAGTTTAGGTGTCCTCTCCACTGTTCCTTAGAATGTTCTAGCTGGGGTTATGCTTATGGATTCCTAGGAATTTCCCTAGTGCCCTTTAATGGCTCTCTCAGTTAAGATATCACTTTGTTTTCTCCCCCTCACTGACCTTCCCCCTTTTTGGTATCCAGTTCCCTCTTGTTCTCTTCCTTTCTTCCCATTTCCTCTTCCTCTCCCCTTTCATCCCCCCCCCCCCCCTTTATCTCAGGATGTCTTCCCAGGTAGATCCATGTATGTCTCTCTTAGGGTTATCCTTGTTACCTAGCTTTCCTGGGATTGTGGGTTTTAGGCTGGTAATTCTATGCATTAAGTCTAATACTCATTTATTACATACAATGTTTGTCTTTCTGATTCTGGGTTACCTGACTCAAGGATGGTCTTTTCTATTTCTATCCATTTACATGCAAATTTCAAGATGTCATTTTTTTTCCACTAGTAGTACTCCATTGTGTAAATGTACCACATTGTCATTATCCATTCTTCTGTTGAGGGACATCTAGGTTATTTCTAGCTTCTGGCTGTTATGAATAATGCTGCTGTGACATAGTTAAGCAAATGTCCATGTGTTATGAGTATGCATCCTTTGGGTATATGCCCAAGAGTGGTATTGCTGGATCTTGAGATAGATTGCATTCCCACCAGCGGCGGATGTGTGTTCCCCTTACTCCACATGCTCTACAGCATGAGCTATCATTGGTGTTTTTGATCTTAGCCATTCTGACAGGTATAAGATGGTACCTCATAGTCATTTTGATTTGCATTTCTGTGATAGCTAAGGATATTGAGCAATTCCTTAAGTGTCTTTGGCCATTTGAGATTCTTCTGTTGAGAATTCTCTGTTTAGATTTGTGTCCCATTTTTTGATTGGATTGCTTGGTAATTTGATGTCTAGTTTCTTGAGTCGTTTATATGTCTTCTGTCTGTGGGGTAAATGAAGATATTTTCCCATTCTGTAGGCTGCCATTTTGCTTAGTGACTGTGTCATTTGCCTTACAGAAGCTTCTCAGCTTCAGGAGGTCCCAGATATTGATTGTTGCTCTCAGTGTCTGTGCTACTGAGGTTATATTTAGGAAGTGGTCTCCTGTGTCCATGTGTTCAAGGCTCCTTCCCACTTTCTCTTCAGTGAGGTTCAGTGTGATTATATTCATGTTGAGGTCTTTGATCCATTTGTTTTTTTTTTTCTTTGATCCATTTGGATTTAAGTTTTGTGCATGGGGATAGATATGGATCTGTTTACATTCTTATACGTGTTCACATGCAGTTATGCCAGTACTGTTTCTTGAGAATTTCTAATGATAGTACTCTTGTGGTTTCTCTATTGGAGAAATATATATTATATCTCCTTTTTAGATTTCTGGAATTTATGAAGAACATGTTATTTTTACATACCTTTCTACTTATTCTTGCATTTCTAACATCTAACATCTGGGACAGAGTTGGAGGAGTTAACGATGTCTTTCTTTCACTTCCATTTTAACCTAAGAATGCTTATTAGTTTCTTTTTGTAAAGATTTAATTTTCATTAAACATTTTTATTGGTGTGTGTGTGTGTGTGTGTGTGTGTGTGTGTATACTGTGATGCCCTCTGAAGCCAGAAAAAGATGTTAGCTCTTTTTGGAGCTATGGAGTTATAGGGGGTTGTGAACCACCTCAAGTATGTGCTGGGTATTGATGGCTGGTCCTTTGTAAGAGCAGCAAATGCTCTTAACCACTGAGGTGTCTGCAGCCCAACACTGCTTATTATTACTTTCTTAAAATATCACATAAGAACCTAAAAACTTGGTACAGGTCGGATAACTCAGTAGGTAAAGGAGTTTGTTATAAAGGCTGATAACCCAAGTTTAATCTGTACCACCAACCTATTACTACTGCAAGTTGTGCTCTGATCTCCATACATATGCTATGATGAAACTCAACAGTAAATTTAAAATGTTTAAGAAGAACATAAAAAATGTTTATGAGTTAAGACCAATTTGCCTACAATTAAATAAAAATAGGGATAATTTGGTAGGACCTACTCATTCATTAACCATATATAATATATATAATACATATATATTACCATTTATTTTAATTTGTATTAATTTTGATATGGCAGAATAGCAAAGACAGAAATTCTTCTGTGTTCCAGGATAGTGAATTCATTTACTGAAATATACATGGAGTTGTTTTAAATTTAAATGTAAATGCTTTGGAGACAGTCCTGCAGCTTGCTCTGTAGACCAGGCTGTCCTCGAACTCGCAGAGATCCGCCTGGCTCTGCCTCCAAAGTGCTAGGATGTGTGCCACCGTCACCCTGCTGCAAAAGTGTAATTCTTGATGATATGTATTTTTTTTCCATTTTCTTACCTCTCTCAAAGTATAGTTTCTTGAAATTATTCACCTCAAAATCATAAACAGAATATCTCAATACTCAAAAAATTTGTAACTGAAGAGTGCTTGTTAAAATTAGTGTCAATTGGTTATTGCAGTCAGGTGTTGACTGCTTTATAACTTTGAAATATTCTGTAATGTAAAATTTAACAACACAGCTTACCTATTTGATTTTTTCTTTTGAAGGAATTAGCTGAACAACTTAAAGCCCAACTTAAAGAGGCAAATAAATTTAAAGAAACCATAGCACAGATATCAGCACAAAGATCGAGAATAAAGGTAAGTAATGAAAGCTTGTTTGAATGTATATTACTTTGTTTAATGTTATTATACTACAGCAGTGGTATTGTCATTCTAGATGTCTCTATGTAAATTTCACCAGCATTCCCTGGTGAAAGCCTCATCCTCAGGCCGAGGAAATAATTTATTCTAAATTCTGTGGCTTGATGATGTCCTTAATTTTTTTTTCCTACAGTAGAATAAGATAATTGAATTAGATACTAATTTCAGATAAGACAAATGATTTTGTCTATGGTTTGTTTGTCTATTTATTATTGAATGGAACAGATTAAAAATGCTTACCTATTTAGAACTTTCATCTGTGTATGGATGATTTTTGCCAGCTATAAGGCTGTTTTATAGATAAAGAATTGATAGGACTAAAGCATATTGAGATTTGTTTATAAGAATATCCATAGAAAATGTTTGTAATTGAACATTCACTTTCAGTGTTTGTAAAATCAAAAATTGTGGATTGAACAGTGTTTGTTAGGAATAATGTAAAACTCTGGAGCATTTACGAAAGCATTTATAAATCCTTTCTATTTGTAGCAGAAAATATGTTTGCATTTTTGGAGAAAAAATGTTAAGATTGGTTTGCCTAATTTCACTTTTAATTTCTTGAGATAAGCACTCTCTACTCTGTCCTGGGATTCACTATTGTAGATCAGTTGGTGTCGAATTCAATACAGATCCACCTGCCTGTCCTTCCCAAGCACTGGGATTAAAAATGTTTGCCACTGTGCAATGCCAGGTTTTTTTTGTTTTTCTTCTCTGTAGAACAGACCTCTCTGTTGTAAGTGAATATAAAATGAGTTGGTTTCGGGTCTTTTGTACTGGCAACATCATGAAAATGAAAGTAACAAAGTGACACCCAAGGGAAGGAAGTGGTTTAATTTTCAGAGTGTATCAGTTTGAGGCCCTGGTTTGTTAATTCCATTTATCAAGCATTTATTGAGGACTCTGTTATTTTACAGTGTTCCAGGTCTTCTATATACTTAAAATGCTTACCTTTTCTTGGCCTGAAAAGGTGGTTAAGACAGAAAATCACAAATAGTATAATGGTTGCTTTCTTAATGACTCGTAATAATAGCAATGTGAATATTCTTAAAATTACTTGTGAACTGATGGTTGGCTGTGATTACATTCTTGTTTTCCTTGTTGAACAAGAAAGTAACTATTTCTGTGAAATGGAAATAAAGTGCAAATTTACCAGAATTGTGAAGAGCTAGAAAATAAAAGTACAGGGCCAGAATTTGAAGGCCTTACAGATTCTTGGGCTTTCCATGTTAAGTTTAATTCCTCTAGACTTCTGTGCAGAATTAAGGTTGTTTACAGATGTATAAAATGTGTGTGTGTGTATTCTGTTTACGCTGAACTGATAGTGTCATAAAATGTGATTGACTTTATGAAAAAACTAAATAGAGAATATAGGAAATGGGGCTAAAGAGCTGTCTTGGTGGTAGAACTGTAAGTTTAGTTCCAGCGTGCACATAGCTGCTCACAAACATGTGTAACTCCAATTCCGTGGGATCTGTATCACTCTTCTAGCCTCTTCTGGGACTAGCTTCACGTGTGGTACACGTGTATGCAGACTAAACATTTATGCATGTAAAATAAAAATATAAGAATATATAAAATGTCTCAATTTTTATGTTGAATCGAATCAACATAAAATTCCTGTGTGCTGACTGTGTTCAGTTTTTAGATCTTTTATTGCATTAATAATGTTGGGCCCTAAAGCCTCTCCAAGGAGGTGGTTGCCCCAAGAGACACCCACAACTCGGTTGATGCAATAGCAAGAGGAATTTTTATTCTGCCGCGGCAGAGGTCCCCCAGCCTCGAGAGGAGAAGGACAACCGCTTTGTCTATTACAAGCTCCTTTAAAGGAAAAAAACACAAAATCAGGGAGGGGGGGAGTACAAAATCAAAGGGAAAGCCCAAAAATCATTTGTCTACTATTTTGACTAGTTCATTTAACGGTGAGCTAACTCTACTTAATCAATGTTGTAACAGTTACAAGGAGGTGCCTTGATCAATGTCATGGTTACAAGGAAGAGCCTTGATCAATGTCATGGTTACAAGGAGGTGCCTTGATCAATGTCATGGTTACAGGGAGGTGCCTTGATCAATGTCATGGTTACAAGGAGGAACCTTGATCAATGTTATGGTTACAAGGAAGAGCCTTGATCTACCTCATGGTTACAAGGAGGAACCTTGATCAATGTTATGGCGGTTACAAGGTCGTCTCACCCCAGTTCCAGGGTCCGGGTCTATACAATGGAGATGGAAAGTACTCAAAGCTCTCGTGTACGTGTTGTTGGTTACCAGGGCCCTGGTTCCCAGGAAGGGGGGTGCAGTAGTGCTAAGGTGCCTCTAAGTCTTTCATTTCCCCCCTTTGTTTTGGTCGAATCTCAATCTTGAGATTCTCAGGGATTATCCCTAAGGACATGATATTGCTGGGTCAACACCATAGCTTGAATAATGCTAAGTCGCTCGCGAATGAACATCAGGAGTCGATTAAGGATACAGGGCCCAAAGGTCAGGATAAGCAATAAGATGATCAAGGGACCAGTGATGGTGGAAATGAGTGTCGTGAACCAGGGGGAGCGGTTAAACCAGCCTTCAAACCAACCTTGTTGTTCCTCCCTCTCTCTCTGTCTTTTGTCTAACCTGTCTCTGAGCTTAGCCATCGAATCTTTAATTACCCCAGAGTGGTCTACGTAGAAACAACATTGTTCCTTTAGGGCAGCACAAAGTCCTCCTTCTTGAAGAAATAGCAAGTCTAACCCGCGCCTATTTTGTAACACTACCTCAGAAAGAGAAATTATTGAATCTGCAAGCTTGGTTATAGATTGTTCTAGGGCCCTTAAGTCCTGGTCAATAGCTGCTCTTAATTCCTCAAAATGTTGGGGAATTTTGGAACTCTGTACTAGAGCAGTAGTACCTGTGCCAACACCGGCTGCCACCCCAAGGCCCAAGATCACTGCTAGAGTCATGGAGATGGGCTCTCGCCGATAACGGCTCGGGTGCCTGTCAAATTCATCTTCAAATGTTTTAGCAGGATAATAAAAGACCCTTGGAACTAGTCGAACAAGCACACAATAATCTTTGGGACCATCAAAAACCAATGTCGCCACACAAGGCGTCAGGCCTGTATTACAAGCCCACCATTTGTCTGAATCAGGGATCAGGTATCCGGTTTTAGAAGTTTTAGGGCTCTTAAGGGTCTCATTACATAAATGTTTGTGAGCAGCCGGTGGATTTCCCAAGCATGTCCCTGCACCAGTGACCTCTGTAAGAGTTAGTCTGTGACTACCTCCCCAAGCACAGCCATCCTGGCTAGTTGTGTTATTGAAACCCCCAGATATTGCAATCCCTTCATTGCTATGACAGGCATAGCCAGCAAGATTGTGTCATATTGGGGTCCGTACTATTCAGCAAAGAAAAAGCTCCCACTATTAGATTAAACAGTCGCTGGCCTGTATTAGAAAGTGCCAGCGGTGAAGCAGGGGTAGCAGAAGAATTTTTAGGACTTGAAGGGGGACCTAGGACCTTGGCGAAGGGGGTGGCCACCTCAGCCAGGGCTAGCTGTCCCTGGTCAGGCAATACCGGGTTGGGCCCTAGTGCTGTGGTCCTGGGAGATGTTATAATAATTCGTAGGGTGAACAGAATCCCTATGTCTTCCCCTCCTGGGTTATACAACCGTAAACCCCAAATATTGCCTGTTAACCAATTAGCTTTTTTTCCCTTCTCCGTGAAGGTGATTGTGATTTCAGATTCCCTTGGTGTGGTACGGGTGAAAGAGACTAAGTCTTCTTTGTTAGCCCCAAACCAGGTGGTACTGACACTGGTTTCACATCCCAGGTAGCACAATAATACACTTCGCCCCCTCCCCCCCCCCCCACTGCCAAGTTCGTCTTCCCCCAGGGCAAACATACCATTCAGAATGTCTGCACGCAGGATAAGAATTCCCGGGAGTTCGTTCAGTATCCCCCCAAGAGTCTTTTGCCAAAACACATAGGTCAAATTCTAGCTGGGGGAACCAGGTACCCAGGGGGTGAACTCCAGTGGCTAGCCTTAAGACTTGCCCAGTTTCAAAGTTAGTCAGAGTCCAAGTTAAGTCCTGAGGTGTATGAGGGTTCTTAGCACTGTGTGTGGAGGAAAATACCAGGGCAAAGAACAGCAAGCCTGGTAGGATCAGGCTTCCTTGACTAGTCTCAGTTTTAGAGGATTTTGGGTACGCTGAAGCTTCCATTTGGAAAGTTCTGGGTCGTCCTGTGGAGGTGCTGGCTTGACGTGAGACGCGTGGATCCAGGCTGCAATACCGTCCACTTTGAGGGCAGTAGGTGTCCTAAGAAGCACGGTGTAGGGTCCCTTCCAGCGAGGTTCAAGGTTCTGGGACCGATGTCTCCGCACGTACACAGAATTGCCAACCTGGAACGGATGCGAGATCTCCGGATGCCCAGGCTGGTAGGCAGCAGCTAGGGGTCTCCACACTTGGGCCTGGACTATCTGAAGTGCTTTTAGCCGCGCCTGCAAATCAGGTTTGTGAGTAGCGGGGTCAGGAGGGGCCTTAAAGGAGGCCAATGGGGGAGGCTCCCCATATAGGATCTCATAGGGAGTAAGTCCAAGCCGAGAAGGGGTGTTCCGCACCCGGAACAGGGATAGGGGAAGGAGCTGTACCCAGTCTCTAATGCCAGATTCCAAAGCTAATTTGGATAAAGTCTCCTTTATGGTTCTATTCATCCTTTCTACCTGTCCTGAACTCTGGGGTCTGTATGCACAATGTAATTTCCAATTAATCCCCAGTGTCTTGGCCACGCCCTGACTTACCTGGGAGACAAAGGCTGGGCTATTGTCAGACCCGATTACCTTGGGCAGGCCAAACCGAGGAAAAATATCTTCTAGTATCTTCTTCACCACCATTTGAGCCATTTCTCGTTTGGTGGGAAAAGCTTCAGTCCAACCGGAGAAGGTGTCTATAAAAACTAGGAGAT